AGGCACCAAGGGGCAAAGTCCGGACTTCATAAGATATTAATAGAAACCAGCAACAAATGCTACACTTGATCTTAGCCAAAAGGCCGAGAAGCGATCAATACCAGCAATAAATGCTAACGTGTCCTTCTCACAAAAGACATGGCATCTAGAGAAGCTTAATGAACAGCAAAGGGTTTGTGGCTCCCACGATAAGGACCACTGATTGGCCCTCAGATACCACTTTTTTGTTTGGATGAGTCATATTGAAATGGCACACTTTCGGTTCATTTGGGGGGCTCATAGTCACTAGTCTGGGAGGATGGAAAACACACCAGGCGCCTCGGAGACAAAAGTGAAAGTAGAGCTTCATTTAACACTGGCAGAAAAGTCTGCATTCACACATGGGAGACTGGTCCCGTCCAATGCTTGAACCAAGAGGATATACGTTCTAGGAGGGGTGTTTCAAGTGAGGCATCTTTGGTATACTTTCATTGGTTACAAAAATTAAATATGTATTAGAAGCAGGCTCAGTCATGGTATTGGCTCACATGTAATAGTGGTAACATGATTATAGGATCATTTAAAATATAAGGTTTATATCTCACTTGCATTCTGGTGAAATGACAAACTTCTAGAGACAAAGACATTCCTCAGATGTGCAAGTTGGCTCGGGCATGTTGAACAAAGAAAATTTCAAGTAGGGAATTTCCCGTAGTAAGTGCAGCTTGGACTATGGAAGCAAAATTGCCTTGCAAAATTCCCTTTCAATACCACTAATGCCAGTCTGCCTCTGAGTCACATTCATTCATTCCAGGAAGTTGTATGGGGAACTGAGGCAGGAGAGAGTCTCCAAGATGGTTTAGACTATGGGTTTGAATCCTACCTCTGCCGTTGCCTGGCTGCAGAATCTTAGGGAAATTACTGGACATTACTGTGCCTCAGTTTTTTCATTTGTTACATGGTGGTAATGGTGCCTACCTCATAGATCTGATAGGAAGACTGACTAGATAAGCAAATATCTCTCAAAGGTGATTTACCCAGTGCCTTGCCCATGGTAAGCATGTCTGAAGTGTGGGCTCACATGTTATAACTGGATCAGTTATACCTGCACAGTGAAGTGTTGGAATGTTTAGGACACTCCAAGTGCCCACAACAATGCAATCAAGAAAAATGAGGGGACTCCATGAGTGGCCTCCTGAATTAGAAAATGATGTGGCTCAATTATCATAATTGCACTGACAGGCTCAGCTCACCTGTGCCCGGGTCCACACTTCACCATGAAAACACATCAATGATGTGGGGGAAACGTTAGACTGGTTGTGTAATGCTGTACAGACATATTCCCAAAGTGTTACTTGTTTTTAATAGTGAGTATGGTTTAATTAATTGTGACTGCAGGGATATATTTTAAATCACCCTTGTGTAAACAATTATAATGGCTAGGCTAATTCTCAATTCATTGGAAGGGATCAGGAATTCCTCACATAGAAACTGGGGGGAGGGGTTCAAAGCAAGGTCCCACTCAGGAGCCTGTTACCCCAATATACTCTATTCTGCAGAGCAAGGGTCTGTTTACAAATTAAAGCTCTCTATGAGAATAGCTATTTCATCTTTTTGTACAGAGAATTTCTCCTGTTGTTATTCAAACATCAGTTAGGAAAGAGCATCTCCATCTGAGAGTGCTTTGATGCTGTAGGAATTTACAGCTATGAGCAGAGAAAGATCCATTTTCTTCAACAAATTTGGTGGAAGCAGAAAAACATGCAGTAAATTAAACGTGATTTGCATGGCATTGTGCATGCATGCATCCTTCCTGTGAGGCAGGGAACGCTCTTTGATTGAATTTCACTATCTCTATATGTTTGTATGGTATTCTGGGAACAATCGAGGAGCCCTCTGTTGGCTAATTAACACCTGTAAATTCACATTGCCTGGGGTCTCCCTCATATTGCAGAGGTAATGAGTCCAAGTCCTGGTAGGGTTGTATTTATTAAAATTTGCAATATATGTTCTTTTTTAAAATTTTGAGTCAGGTAGTTTAGGCTGGGCCTTATACTTACTATGTAGCCTAGGATGACCTCAAACTTAAGGTGATCTTCCTGCCTCTGCCTCCCGAGTACTGGGAATACAGATGTGTGCCACCATTCCTGGATTATGTTCTAACTATGGTGAGACAGTAGCTGGGGGTTGAAACTCTAACGAATCTGTTGTTCTACCTGGGTGATACCAAACAAATGTTCATTGATTTATTAGTAGATATGTCTTGTTTGACACATGATGAAGACAAGGTGGTTTTCAAAAGAAAGGACACAACCACTCCCTCCAGGTCACAGTCAGGTAAGAGAAAGAACAGAAAGTGAGCGCAAAATTAATACATATAAAAATGCATATGGTACTATGAAAAAACAAAGAAAGAAGACACTAACCCATTTTGAGGGGTCATCAGCTTCATAGAACAGAAAAATTGTGACGCAAATATTGAAGGGGGCGAGGAATCAATCTTCTGGGGGTTGGGTGGGAGCATTCCAGCGGGAAGAAATAACACATGCAAGTACTGTGTTAATGGGAAGCACAGGTGCCTCTGTGTGTGCAATTCCAGAGAGACTTTCAGATCTCTTCGATGATAGGATGGCACCAGTGGAGGAAGCCAGCCCACTCCAGTGATCCTGCTTGGTGAGGTGGAAAGGTCATTTGGTTCTCATTCCTCGTTAGTCAAACCTATCCATCACTGTGAGCTACTTCCACGATGGAAACAACCATGCCATCACTGTGAGTAACCACATTTGTGTCGTGAGGAAGCTTGATACTCTGTAGATAGTCGTCCTGCCTCCAAAACTCAGTAATCACCTTCACCATCAGAAAAAGCCTCAATTTGTAAGTCATAAAGAAACAGTGCTCCTCTTTCAAAGGATGCCAAATTGAGTCAGTTGTACGCTGGTTCAGTAGACACCACTGTTGGCCAGCCTCAGGCTTCCATCATTCTGAGACATAGCCAATGGGCACCTTCTGCTTAAGAAATGAACAATGACTAAGTCCACAATGATAAAAGTTCAAGTTAAGGGACACAAGGAGAAGTTGATCCCATTGATTGCTAGCATAGTTAAAGTGAGCCTCTATAACATTAACTCTCCAAATGTAGAATGACTCTGTCAAAGGACATGTTGGGTTTTAATATGTAGCACTACACTGGGTTAATAGGGACCTGGCACTGAAAAAACATGCACTATCTCCAAATTGTGGCTGCCAAGTTTGCATTTGGGGTTGTGTTCTTTTTTGCTAACAGTAAGGGGAAAAGCACATGGAGGATACTTATGGCCGATTTTTGAGGGGCAAGCTTGGGAGTGGGTGATCTAATAGCTATCCATAATAGCTTTCCTTTGGCTAGAACCAGGTTGCATGGCCACACTAATTGCCAGGAACCTGGGAAATGTTGTCTAGCTTCATGCTCAGGAAGAAAAACAAAATAAAAAAAATTTCACAACAGCTAGTAGTGTTCTGTAGCAATCACTCCATCCTGTGCCACCATTTACAACTACTTGTAGACTTTGTTTGAAGTTTGCATATGGATCACTAGACACACCAAGCACTTGGACCATAGTGTATTGCTACAACTGCCAGAAAACCACTTGGCCCTGTGCTCCAACCTTACCCTGTGAGTCAGAATGATGTGTGATGGTTCATGCCTGATGGCCAAGATCAGAAGAAGATTTGGAGAAGCTTTCCCTATGAACTCATGTCTGGAGGTCCACATTGTTTTAAGATGAAAGGCTCTGAAGCTTTCATGTTTCATTTGCTCACAGTTCTAAACAACATCATAATGGAACAAAGAGTTCCAGATAAACACAAGGTTTTGAAAATACCTGGGCAAGATTTCCAAATTAATTTCTGTGAGTCTTAGGAATGGGTGGTGTCAGAAAAATGATTTTAAAAAGTTGTGACTGAATAGTCAGCCAGTCATAAGGCGTATTCAGGTATCAAGAAATACAGCCATACCTTGATACTTGATGGCTTTGAAACTCCTCACATTTGATACTCGATGCGTTCTGACTTGCCCATTTGCACCTGGTACCTGGCATTTCTTGGTACTCCACGTGTAAGCTAGAACTTGTCTGTATCCATTGCCTTGTGACTCACTGCCCTTCCCATCCGAAACAACATGGTACTTACCATTTTTGGTACTTGTTACACCTCCCGGAACAAATTAAGAATGAGTACTGAGGTACCATTACATTAGGAGAAGAATGCAAGATTATGACAGGCAGTCTTTTGAGTTAGCTGGAAAATTCTTTCACGCATTTTAAGAAACAAAAACATAATACAGGCAAGAGAACCTGGGGTTGTATATGTGTTCTTGGAAGAACTGTGCAGAGCACCTCTTGACCACAGTCGTGTGGTGTGCATGAGAAACCATCCCGCTGATCATTTGGGCAGAGCTGTGGTATGTGAACCCAGACAGGTGTTCAGCCACGGTTGCAGCTGGAATTATGGGGTGTCAAGCAAGCTCAGCTGGGTCAGATGTATCCCCCTATCCTGGGTGGGTAGCATAATTGTTTCTGTAAGGTGAATATCTTTTGAAACTCATAAGATTTTGAATTAACTATTGAAAAGTTCAAAAGACATCAGGAATCTAGAAAAATTTGACGTTTTAATTACTATTAAAGCTTAAATAATAATGACCCTTTAGAACAATGGTTTATTCTTGTAATTTCAATTTAAAATATATAACTGAGTAATTTATTCAGTCATAATTTTTGGTTGAAGTTTTATTAATTTTATATACAGTGTTTGAGTATTGAAGGGAATTTAAAATTTCTTAATTTAAAAAGTTGAATTGATTAGACTTATAAGGATTGCCTTACTCATGGGGAGAGAGAGAGTTACTCAGGTAAACAATTGATGTATTTAAAGGATGAAATTGAATATACATATCTACAAATGTAGTTGAATATTTACAAGGGAGCTTAAGTATATAAATTGGAATTATAAACATTCCAAAATACTATTGTTAAATTTTGCTAGATTTTAAGATTTTTTATTAGTACATGTTTATGTTTCATTCATAATGGTTGCGTTTGTCGTGGGGAGTTTGCGCTTGTACACAACACACTTTAGATCTTTTTTGTTTCTCTTCCCCTCCTGTCCCTCTGTGCTCCTGCCTCCCCAATTGCAAAAGCTCCATTTCCATGTTTTTCTTCAACTCTTTTTAAATCCCCTTCATTTGCTAGATTTAAAGATAAAATAATTACATTTGTAAATTAAACTAGACACATTAAGGAAGGATAACATTTTGGGGTTACTGACTCTTAGAAAATTAGTATAAATTGCTACAAGCAAAGAAAGATACTGGAACTTTTTGGCATACAAACACAGCTCCCATGGACACACACACACACACACACACACAAACACACACACTCACAACCCAACCCTTACAAGTAGAAAAATTTCTATTCACGCTTCTTATGAGGTTTCTGTGAATCTTTAAGCAAGAAAATCCAAATAATTTAATCAATTGTTTGGTGGAACTGACCAGTCTTTAGATTCTTAATCTGAAGGTTTCCCCAGAGCAAGCAAAGTTGGTGGACCCATTCATTCTGTGCAGTGGTCTTCGAACTTGAGCAATGTACAGAAACCATCTTTCCAGAGGAAAAAAAAAAGGTTGTTCAAGGATTGATTCCGGTATGAAATTATTTTAGGGTACTTAAATGTGCTTATAAAACTAGACCTAAACTGTTCATGGCAAGAGCTCAAACACACCCGGAACAACTTACCCAACTAAAAGCAGATTCAAATACAAACGCAATACAACGCCAGCATGCAGCCATGAGTCACGTCTGGTGGAAGCTCAGTCACAGTTTGCAGCCTGAGTTCCGTCCTGCTGGTGCAGACCCGGTGCCCAGAGCTCCACGTACCCACATTACTACCTCGTGTGCTCACTCGGTTTGCAAACCGCTTTCCTCTCTCTCCTTGCACTACTTTGTACAGCCCTCTGCGATGTCATTTGGCCTTCATTTGGCACGAACGCATCATTTCCTGTTTAGTTCACCTCTATTCTCTTCTCACTAGTAGGTGACATTAAAGAAGAGTCACTTGGCAACCACGGAATCGCTAACAAAAGCGAACAAGAGAGTGGAACTCTTGGGAGGGTGTTCTAAGGCTGTCGCCAAGAAGATCTAGACTCTCCAAGTGTGCGGATTTTGGATTATTGCAAAATGAAAACTTTTAAATGAAGTTAAAACTTATTACACAAAGTTTTTATGGAAATCCAGGTTGGGAAATGCGATGATGTGAAAGCAGCTTTGAAAAAGTGTAAGTCAGGTTCAAACCTGAATTTTCCCACTAACTCAACAACTGTGTTATCTCTTTGTAGTTCATTTATTTTTTTTCCTTCATTGATTAATTGTGGTGCTGGGGATTGATTCGAAAACTTTCATACTGAGCTGCAACTCCAGACTTCTGTTTTTTATTTTTTTGAGACGTTTTCATTAAATTGCCCAGGTTGGGTGTGAAATAGAAATTCTTCCCTCTCAGCCTACCAGAGCACTGGGATTATAGATATGTGGCCCCCACATCTTGCTCCTTTCATTTTTAATAGGAATAATATTGATTGCACAGAGTTAAAATAAGATTAGAAATGATATGTGTAAAATTCTGAGTAAATGGGTAAGCAATTGGCAAATGGGAGTTGCTATAGTTAGGAGAAATTAACAATATGTACTTCATATATTTGCCCAAAATTCTGTTGTGAAGTTTTTAGTGTGTGTGTGTGTGTTTGTGTAGTGTTACGAAGCTGAAGGTTTTACCTATATCAGACGCTAATGACAGATCACACAGACTCAGGATTTTCTAAGTAAGCTCTGTGGAGTCCCCACTGTGGTTGGGTTGGCCAGAGCTGGGAGACCTGGTGGGATTCAAGGTCTCTACTCTTTCTTGAAACAGCAATGTTGCTTATGTACATGTTTCACACAGAGGACTTCCATTTAAAATAATATTTTATGGATACATATTGAGGATATACTCCTAAGTGAAACAAATAAGTCATACATGTGTAAATACCGAATAGTTTCTCTGGTGTGAAAAACTAGAATAGTACATAAGATCCTAATGATATAATTGACAATGTGATATAGGAAGAAAGGGGCTAAAGGTGTAGGGAAAGTGGGAAGGGTAGGGGAAAGGTAATAAGGGAAAAGAAAAAAAGAGAAAATGAAAAATGGAAACAAAGTGTTTGTCAATGGGGAGGGGAGGAGAGGGTTTAGGGAGGGAGGGCAGGAGTGTATGGGGAAAAATGAGAACCAGGACCTGTCATGTAAAGGTACAAGATCCCAATGATGAATGTAACTGTACTGTACACCTAAAATGTACCAATAAACTCAATGAGAGGAAAAAAATATTTTAATAGTGAAGTTTGTGACTGAAAGTCAAAAACCTTTGAAAACCACTCATAGCATATTCTTAGCTTTTTATTAGAACAATTACAATGATGTTTGACCAAACAGGCAGAGTTAGATGTCAGTATCCTCAGTATGCTGGTAAAAACTGAAATTAAAAGTGTAGCTACACTTTTATCCGTGGTAGTGCTTTTGAGTGAAATATATGCCTGACAGTTCTCTAAGATCCTGAAATATCCCTCAATTTTGAAGATCCCTGTAAAAAGATCTTCCAAGGCTAAGCTTCACATGTAATTCCTTAAACATTGACTAAAATCATTTTCTCTCCTTTTGGAAACACGAACCTACAGCAATGCATAGCCACCAGCTAGGAATTCTCACCTTTGCTGCAGCGTTTTAATGAGTCAGCATCCTTCATTTGATTCCTATTATAACGAAGATGTGTGAAACCAGTTTCAGGTAAGTTGAGAAAAATATACTGCCTCTGAATTTTTCACTATAATTTCATCCCATGGGCCCCTAGAAATGCAAACATGTGCACACCTACTAACACACACAAACACACACACAAACACACTCACTGAAAGGGTTTATTATTGTTAGGCAAATATATCTGTTAACTAAAGTCAGGGATGCCAACTGTCTAAGGAATTTATTAATTCTAATTCTGAAAAAAAGCACATATGAGAATGAGAGAAAACATTACTCTAAATTTTTAATAAGATGAGCTGAGCTATTATTTATGTTTCGGATTACAGATCTTTTGTTATCATCTAATGTATATTTCATTTTGGTCAGCAGTGTAAAACCTCATCTTGCCCAGAAAGTGATCTCATTCCCTGGCCACAGGATTCCTTTCATGCTGTAACAAACCCGTGTGAAGGAGATTTGGAGTGCTGCTGCTCAGATTCTCAGACACACAGGAGTTTTCCACCATGCTTTTCTTCTCTTCGGCTTAGCACAGGGGTATTCAGTGGAGGTGCATGGTACCCAGCGACTTCTACCTCAGCATCTACAGAGGATCTTTGAATGGACTTTTTTTTTTCCTTCAAGGGACTCAGTATTTTCAACAATCTTAAATCATTTAGCTGATTGCCTTAACCATATCATTATTTTAATAGGTCATTAAAATAAATGAAAAAATTGAAATGATTATAAAATCTGTGTTTTCTGCACTGTAATCACAGCCGGAGACAGAAGCTGTGTGTTGTATATAATATGTATACACATGGCACAACTGTCACATAATGTCATTCAAACATCCTCTGCAACCAAATAAATTAGTTAGTTGGGAAAGAAATAGCTAACACAGCCGAGGATTGAGAGCTGTGGTAAAGACGTTAAACTAAAATGTAGGAAAACGGCTCTGCTTCTGCTTTTCAGTATCTAGCTAGATTACATTGGAGAATCACTAAATCTTTGAGTCTGAATCTCTTTCTACGTTAAAGGAAAATATTCCCAGCCCTCCCTCTGGTAGGTACTCAGTACTCAGTGTGGGTCAAATAATTCACTTCACAGACACGTTTCCGGACCTCCTCCTTTCAGTTCGTGGTAGAGTTTCATCTCCTGCCTGTGTTGAGGGTAACTATTGCTATACCATTCTTGGAAGTTGAGCACAGTTTCAATCCCTGGCACCTCTGAGTTGTTCTCACTGGGGGAGCAAGAGCAATTGTGATTTATGTTCTCAATACCCTAATGCAGGAGAGTTCTCGCTATATATAACTTGACTCAGAAACATTGAGTCATCTGATGTGTCTTGCACTTAACTGTCGTGACTGCAAACTAATGCCAACCACTCCAGAGAAGGAGGCCACCAGGCATGATCCTGGAGAGTTGGAGGAGGGACAGGCAGTCACCTCTAAGTAACTGCCAAGTATGCAAGGTCAGGTACCCGGATCTTGAGGTGAGACGTTGATAGCACTGGAAAGCCGGCCAGAGCTGGGGCTCAGGGTCCTCACTGTCTCCAGACCACCTCCTCTCTCCAGGAACACTGGGGTTTCCAGGAAGATTTAAAGGGAGACAGGCAAAAGACCTCACCGGAGATTGAATTAACGCCTGCCAGGGGGTGGAAGGGAATAAAAAGAATTTACAAATCCATCAGGGAAAAGGGAGCATTACAGAGAGAGGAGAGCAAGTTATAAATGAAAAGGGGTGGAAAATTAATGGGGACTAAAATAGATTACAATTTTATGTGCTCCATGGGGTTTATAACACTTTACATGCAATTAGGAATAAAATCACGGGACTCCCCAGGTCCCTGTTCCCCGGAGGCAAAGATTGGAAGTGCTAGCTTTGGGGGAGGGAAGGAATTTAAAGAGGGCCTTTGTTACAGAGGCCAGGTGAGGGAGGACAATTGGGCAGACTTGTTTTAGATTGTCCTCTGTGGACCCACATTTGTAAAGAGAATAAGGGGCAGTTGGCAGGAGAGTAAGAAGAGTCAAACTAAGTTGCCAGGGATGGGCCCTTTCTCTCTCTTTTCCTTGTTGGTCCCAGGAAAGCACTGGAGGGAAGACCAAGCCATTTCTCAGTGGGTGTGATTTCTCCCATGCGAACTCAGGTGCTCACAGATACATAAATGTTTTGCTTTTAGTTACCTATTTAGGAATCTTTCGGCCCAAGCAAAGAGTCATAGATTTTAACAAAAACCACTCTTAAGTCTCCGACTGCCTCAAAAATCCTCAGATTGTGGGTGAAGGGACCCGGAGTTTGTTTTTTGTCCCTATGGTGGTTTCTCACTACATCAAAATCTTAGGGTGGTAATTTAACCATTCTACTTATTCTATCCCTGCCTAAAGTCAAATCTGTCCTCCTCCTTAGACTATTCTTGATTTAACTTCAATTTCCATTTCTACTAATGCGAGGTCCCATGCTAGTTAGCGACAGTTTCCTGTCTATAGACGTTCTCCAGGCAGCTTTCCTGTTGTTTAAAGTCCACAATCTGACGCTCTGCATTCGTGTGCCCAGGTTTGCCTCAGTTGCCCTGGGTAGTATCAGCAGGTCGGCGTGGTCCATGATGTGGAGAGGTTTAGCATTGTCTCCAACCCAGTCGGAGCGACACTGCCTTCCGGCTGCCATCGCTGTAATACCAATGGCCCCAGTCATAGCCATCAGCTTCCAGAGGATGGTATTGCCCTCCAGTGGGTGCAGAGTCTCCTACAAGGGCCCATGCTTTTACTTACAGTGAGAGGTGGAACTCAATGGATTGGAGTCTTGTGAACCCTCTTATGCTTCACATATAGGTGTCCCTCTAAAGCCTCAGAGGATGGTAGGTGGGGCCTCAGGGAGGTGACTGAATTAGAGGGGCATTTTGGCAGACTTCCTGTTAAGAGGTGGGGCCTGTTTGAAAGAATTGAGTCCCTCTGGGCATAACCTGGAAAGGTACGTCTGCTTTCCAGCTCCTCCCATGATTCACTCTGCTTTCTGGTGCCTCTCCTCGGCTATGCCGCTGTGCCAAGCTGTCCTGCTGTTGGGGACCAGCCGTGATATGTAGAGATTGGTGAGGGGCCACGTTACAGGCCCCAATTAACTGGCCTTGGGAACAGAAAAGTATGACTCCCTGGCCGAGTTGGGAAAGTCATAAGCATAGCCCTCCTGAGACAAGATGACTCCTACTGAAGCCAATACATTATGCAGGGATCCCAGTGTAGGGAAAGACCTTAACTTCTCCTTTTGAGATGCCAAACTTGGTCCCTGTCTTGCTACCCTAATCTTACTACATTCAATGTTTCTGGGACAGTACTACACCCTGCTTGGGGAATTACGATGAATTATGCACTTCTTGGTCCATTATAAAAGCAGACCCACTCTAGAGTTCTCTGAAGTCTAGAGATACTTTCCTTCCAGTCCCCATTGCAAGTCGTATACTGTATTGGTGTCTCTTTTACTCCCCATTGTTCTCTCTCCAGGTATTCGGGGGTCTGAGGATCTCCCAATATCCTGCCTGGGAACCAAGCGACTGGAATGAAACCTCTACAATCTGTAAGCCAAGATAGACATTTGCTCTTTTAAGTTATGATCATTAGATTTTTTTTGTCCCAGGGATGAAGAAAATAAATAAGACAAAGCTGAACACCTCATTCCAAGGAGAGAGAGCCTCAGAACTAAAGCACAGCAATGCATAGTCCGCTAGCTGGATCCACCAACTAGAAGGGAGGGTGGTCTGCCTGAGCTCCCACCACTCTTTCCTCTAGAGATGCAGGGAGCATGAGAAAATAATCTATTCATTCTAATGAGCGCAGCTATATGTGGGAATCTTTGGAAATCTGTGGTTCTTGATATGTGGATATGGAGACCAGACATCTTGTTTTACCTGGAGATGTTTCTAGTTTTTTCTGGTTTTCCTGTTATCCTTATTAAGAACACCTTCTTTCACTATGGAATGTGTTCTGGCCTGGATGATAAAATACATTTCCTCCCAATACAAAGTATTATGGTTTAGATCTAAAATGCCCCTGCCCCCAATTCTCATGAGTGTGGCTAGTGATGGGATTGTGAAGGCACCGTTCTCATGGGCAGACTAATTCACTGACGTATCCATGGCTAAATGCAGAGTCAGGAAGTGGGGCCTGGCTGGAAGAGGAAGGTCATGAGGGTGTGGCTTGGAAAGGTATATTTCCTTCCTGTGCTCCTCCATCCTCTGCTTCCTGGCTGCCATGAGGTGAACAGCTTTCCTCCACTCAGGCCCTCCTGCCACATCCTGCCTTCTCTGGATCCATACAGCCACAGATGATAGCCTTGAACTGACTACCTTTAAGTTGTGGGCTGGGCAATGTGTTCTAATGTCTAGAAAGCAAGTAAGACACAGTCAAGAAAAATTCCCTACCTCCCATACATTGGAGACAATGAGGGATGAGCTGCCAATAAGGACTCTCTAAATTCTTCTTGGGAAATGCAATGCACACATGGCCACTAATCGGGCTGCATGGTGTCTCTCAGAATTCATATAGTGAAGCTGAAAATCTTCAGTATCTCAGAATGTGGTTGCGTTCTGTAAAGGGGCAACTAAACTAAAATAAGGTTGTTTGGGCAATAGAACTGGTGACCTTATGGAAATTGGAGATTAGGATGCTGTAATGGCTGTGTCTAGACAACCAAAGCTACCCAAAGCCTCATGTGGACACAAGTAGGGGCTTTTCAGAGGTGGCTGGATCTAGAGTGTGTGTTGCTGGGATTAAGAGTGTTACATGCTGAGGGCTGATTCATAGTGTGATTCTAGGACTAAGGCTGCCTCACTTTGGGTATGAGTGCTACCTACCCTTAGGGTGGGTGGCCTGAAGAATACAAGGAACAGAAAGAGGGATGCTGTCATCCCTTGTTACTTGCTGCTGCTTTGTTACTTCATCGCTTTGCTGCCTTCTGCCAGCCATGGACTGTTTCTCCTCTGTGATGTCCCTCTGCCATGCCGTCCTGCCTTGGAGCCAGCCAACTATGGACTGAAACCTCTACAAACTGTGAATCAAATAAACCTTTCTACTTTAACATTGGGTGCCAGGTGTTTTGTCTCAGTAATAAGGAAAAGAACTGAGACAGGTGTGGGCAGGCACACAGGGAAGACCACATAAATATGCAGGTGGAAGGCAGCCATCTGTAAGCTAGTGAGAGGCCTCAGAAGAAAACACCCTTACCCATACCCTGGTTTTGGAATTTCATCCTTCAGAGCAGTGAGATACCTGTCTTTGGAACTTGGTTATGGCAGCCCTAGAAAAAAGAAATATAGCCAATCTCTGATATATATTATATAAAATTGATGACCAAGAAATAAAAAAGTGCCCCAGGAGTGTGGTGCCTTGGATCTCATGTACACAACAGCTCTTTTTGCTTTGTAAAAGCAAGTGTTATAGACCAGGATGCAGGCGAAGTGAGAAGGGCCTAGTTGTGGTGAAGAAGTCAGAAGAGTTAGTACTCCAGACCCGAGAACCTGTGGCCACTGACAAACCTGCATACAAGCCTGGAGCCTGGCACCCTCTTTCCCTTGGCAACAAACTTGCTCTTCTAGTGGGAGGGGACAAGGAAGGAGCCTAGGGCTTTCCTGGTCATAGCTTTTGATGGCTGTGCCTGCCTTGTACTGAGAAGCATCACTTGAGAGATCACTGCTGACTATGAGGTATGTGTGGTTACCACAATAACCAGCCCCCCAGCTCCAACACACAGCCTAGTTCAGGGGAAAGTGGCTTTGCCTACTGCCTACACTACTCTGGAGCCTGGGTAAGTGGCATGGGTGGCAGGTTCCATGTGACAGTGGGGTTGGGAAGTTGCTCTCCCTTCTACTAAGAGCTGAACTTTGAAACCTTAGGGCAGGAATTCACATCTTGATGCTGCCACGTGTCACTGCCCCCACATAAGGCAATATATTGAAGCCTTCTAAGTGTGTGATTTTGGGATATAGATTTCAACCTGCCAGTTGAGACTTTATAGAAGTTAGGTCAGCTGACAAATGTGAATTTTCCAAAAATCTGTGTGCCTAGAGAATCATAGCTAAGGTTGCTGTAAATTTTCTGAACCAGGCCTTGTTCAGGTGGAGACAGCTGCCTTTTTTTTTTTTTTCCAAAGAACCTGACTTCTTGCTGGAGGTCCTAGGAGTCACAAGATCATCCTCAAAGCTCTTCACAGGGGGCCTATGGTCTCTGTTACTTGCTCCTGTTTTCTCTGGTTCTCTGAACATCCTGAGTGGAAACCTATGGTTTCCTGCTTCAGAATACCTGTATCATCTACCTCACCTGTGAGTTCTTCTAGCTGTGCCTCTGCTTTACTTCCCTTTTCCACTCTGAAGATTCCAAATGGAACAGGACATGGAGAAGCCAGCTATGCAAACAGAATGAGATGTAAAATAGTGTCCAAGGCCCCAAGGCACCAGGTACTGGTTTTATAAGACTGATGCGAGCACCCAACAGGTTAACACTTGTAGAAAGATCATTTGCTACTTGTAATCTTAGGAGAAAGAAGAACTCAAATTCTTACAGGTACAAATTCTCTCAAGCACCATCAAATATCCTACCTACTCACCTGAAGTAAGTTTATAGGACTTGAACTTACAGGTGGGTGAACTTGTCCTTAAGATTGAATTTGAGAAAATGCCAACACTTTCTAGGATGATTTACTAGAAAATTCCTAGACACCTAAACAGACAATGTCTAACAAATCTATAGAACATGCCTATCATCATCCAACAGCTATTCATTTGCATGAAAAATTAATTTCTAATATCCCCTATATAATTATTAAACTTTCAAGTTATTTGCATTTGTTCCCTTATAGAATGTATATTTCTTCCTAGGGAACTTTAAATATTACTTTTATCTTCACAGAGGGGTAGATCAAAAGGAACATAAACCTTCATGTTGCCCCTACTAAGTATTGGAAAGCAAATCATAAACAATATAGCCACACTTTTATAGACTAATTCATATAGAGTATTTTTCATAAGTGATAACAGACATAATTGTTCTATAAAGAGATAGGAACATTTTTGAGGATTTTGATATATGCAAAGTACCTTACAGAAGTATCGTATCACGATGCAATGTTACAAGGTTATAGACAGTAGATATTGTACTGGGTAGTAATATGTACTGTCATTTAAATAAACACTTGCTAATTTATAGATTAAAATAATTTTTTCTTTAATTTCTGTAGCTTAAAAATGAATGGCAGTAGGGCTGGGATATAGTATAGTGGTTCTGTCGCCTGTCTCACAAGCTCAAAGTTCCAAGTTTGATCCCCAGTACCAAAAAGGAATGGCAAGGTTAAACACTTTTCACATGTTCATTTATCAGCAGCATTTTATGTTTTTTGTTAAGTGTTGATTTTTGTATAATCTTTTAGGATCCCTTTGTTTTTCTTATCAGTCAGCATGTACTTTTAAATAGAGTTTTTGGAATTTTGGGAACCATTTTCTGCAGATGAGGGAATTTGCCTCCGGTCACATAACTAGTGGCTTGGATGCAATTCCAGCCGAGGTTTGTCTGACTTCGGAGTTTATTCTCTTCCAATTACACTGCACTTCTTCCCCGTGTGGCAGGGCATGGTGAATTAGACAATGTCTGTCTTGGGTCTGAGGCAACTCAGAGCCAAGACCTACATAAATATGGAGCTTAATTACTGCGATGCAGGTCACAGAACTGTCTCATAAATAATTTCTCATTTAACCTCAAAATACTCCTATTAAATGAGAATCAAGTATAATTATGATATTGACATTTTACAGATGAAGCTGCGAGGGGAAAGTAATATCCATGTGCATTAGGTCAAGTAGAGGTCAAATGGAGTCTTAGATTCAAAACTATTATTTTATGATAATACCGCAACACTCCATTTATCTGTCACCATCAGAAAGAAAAGGCAGGTCATGTAAGTTAATTTCAGTTAAATAAAAATTACCCAGTTTAATACCAACCTTTAAAATCTTCCATAAAACTTTTACAAAAATATAACTGATCATATGCATTTATCTTTTCCTTCTCTAGAGAAGCCACTGAAGTGACAATGACCAAGACTTTTAAAGCTACAAAACACAACAAGAAGGAGAACATCACAGACACAAAATTTAAAGGAATTTCAATGAATTTGGGGGTGGAGAATAGTTAGGGAGTTTGCAGCTGTTGAAGGAGAACTTAGGAGACTTCTACTGAACAATATTATTTTGCTGTGGCCTATGGATCAAAAGCAGCTTCCAAGAACTTATTAGGAAAGTAAATACATGAGTTCCTTGTCAGAACTACTAAAGCAGATTCTGTGTGTAGGGTTAGTAATATATATATAAATATAAATATAAGTATATATATAATGTGCTCAGGTGATTCTTATGCAGGTGAAGTATAACTTATTCATAATGCTGTGACTAGAAGTGTTTCAGATGTCAGACATTTTCAGGTTTTGGAATAGCTGCATATATATAATGACATGTCTTGGGGATGGGACCCAGTTCTAAGTATAAGACTCATTTATGTCTCAAAGAGCGAGAGAATAGATTCATTCATAGGAAAATGGATACATATTGAAGATATACTCCTAAGTGAAATAAATAAGTCACACATGTGTAAATACCAAATAGTTTCCCTGGTGTGAATATTCTGCAACAATGCATAAGATTCTAATAAGATTACTGACAATTAGAAATTTGAAGAAAGGAGCTAAAGGTGTAGGGAAGGTATGATACGTAGGGGAAGAATAAAAAGGGAAAAGAAAAAAATGTGAGAGAATGAAAAGATTAAAATAAAGTGTTTGTAGATGGGGAAGGGAGGAGGGGGTGAGGGGAGGGCAGAGGTAAGGGGGAAAAATGAGAATCAAGACTTGCCATGTAAAGGTACATGATCCCAACAATGAATGTGACTGTACTGTATCCCTAAAAATGTACCAATAAACTCAATAAAATTAAAAAAAGACTCATTTATGTCTCAAATATACACCATACATACAGTCTGAAGGTTCTGTAATTTTGTGCAGCATTTTTGAAAGTATTATTCATAAAACAGTTTCATAGTATAGGATTTTCACTTACGGAGTCAAGTCAGCTCTCAAAACGATTCAGATTTGGGAATGTCTAGGGTTTTAGATGTCCAGATTACGGATGCTGAACTTACTATATATGGTCGAGTTTGAGAAATCATGAAATTTAGATAAAACCTGGGTGACACAAAGAGGAAAACTGTTCTTTCCTTATCTCAGCGAGATTTGGAATTTATAAGTGCCATTTGTGAATGGGACTGAGGCAAACAAGCTCCTTCTGGTTATTCTTGGGGTCTGGGGCAAGAGGACCAGTGGAGTCCCCCGGGCCCACCTTTCTTCCTTCCTATTTCTCCTCTGCGCCACAAGGGGATTCCTGTGCGTCTGTGCAGCCAATGCAGTTGGCACACTGAAGCTCTACCCGCACCCCACAGAGAGTCTCCTTTTGGAGACCTTATGAAGCCTATGTCCTGTACAGACCCTGGAAGGAGATTGGTGCAAATTGGGTGGGGAATTCTGAGGTCCTAGTTACCCAGAGCATAGCCTAGAAGGGAACTGTGAGCATTGGGGGGATCCTATCTAGGTCCCTCAAACTCCTTGCCTAGTGGAGAAGGCTGAGACTGGAGAATACACAGACCCAGGGTTTATGTAGCTTAGCAACCAGGCTGTGGGCTGCAGCCAAGTGGGCTACAAAGGTGAATAAGACAGGGTTACAAAAAGGATTCAGGGAAAGCACATACGTGAATCATGTGGTTTTTCTTGGACCCTACATTGCCCTTGACACACAGTCTGTCCTGAGTTGAAAAGTCATGCATCTTTTAGGGAAAAAAAACAAAACAAAACAAACCTTTGCAGTTTTTCTAGGGCTCTACTTGAAAAATAGCCAACCACTTCTGGCCTAATTATACTGGACCATGACCTGCCAGATGAAAGTCCTACCCACAGGTGTCAAGTCTGTAGCTGATGCTTTGTTGTTACATTTAAGATATAGACACAAGTAAGGATTAATATAAAGTTGAGGGCTGTAGATTTAGCTCAGTGGTTCTACTGCCTGCCTCGCAAGCACAAGGTCCCAAGTTCTATCCCTGGTACCAAAAAGTAAAAAATAAATAAATTTAAATAAATAAATAAAGTTGAGGGATGGAAGAGGCTGGACAGTCAGTGCAAAGTTACAGACAGTAACAATAAATTCCTGTGTTCTAGTGCAAAGTGGAATCACTGTAGTTAACAGCAAGGCATAATTCAAAATAGCTAGGAGAGAGAATTTCAGGTGTTCTCATCAGAAAGAAATGATAAATATTTGAAGTTATGGTTATGCTAATGACTCAAATTTGATCATTTTACCTTGTAAACTCTACCAAATTTTGCACTGTGCCCCATAACTGTATGCCAATTAAAAGGAAAACTATGTGACAATTCAAAAATTTTAAAAAGACAATTGAAGAATCTTAGCATTATGAAAGAAGATGTAGGTAAGATAGAATAAAATAGTCTCATGGACTGGGGATTTAGATCAGCAGCTAAGCACTTGCTAAGCATGAGTGAGGCCTTGTGTTCAGTTTCTAGCACCACAAAAATCCAAACAACCAACCCCAAACTCACATAAGTATAATAAGTAAGAAAATCAAAGGGAGTATCGATACAAGTCCAGTTAGAATTGTCTTGGGTGGCAAGAACAACTACATTAATAAAACAAGAAGTCATATTTTGAGGTTGGGGACAATCAAAACCCGGTGGAGCTATTGGACCTTCATTCTCTGAGTGGCCGATGTGTGCTCTTGATGGTCTGTAGTACAGTTTGTATCACTTCACTGCTTCTTTTCTGACAGTCTTCACTGTGTTTAACCTTCCCAAATGCCTTGTGTTTTGTTGCACTTGAATGCTTAGGACACATCTTCATGCTTCCTCAGCACCAAGGAGTGGCTGGGACTTGCTCAAGCCAATTGTGACAACTCTATTCTCTCTGTCATGTGACTGGGCTAAAGTATGGGTATGTGATATAATACAAGCCAATGAGATTTGAAGAAAAGTCTGTTGTGAGAGTTTTGGGGTAGTTTTTCCTCAGTCTTAGAAAAGGACACAAGACAGATGTCACCTTTTCTTCCTTTAAATCTGGTTGTGGAAAAATATAATGTTGCAACCACCTTGTTACTAAGAATTTATAAGTCTAATGTTAAGGGTGATCTAGAAAAACTACCGGAGTTCCTATGTTTCTAAGTCATAAAGTGGCTGAATTAGTTAACCTTTATGGCACTCATTTCTGGACGTTTTTGTTTAATTTACTTTGAGTTGAGCCTCACTTATTTAAAGGTCAAAAACATTTTAATTAATGTATTCAAAGAAAAATGTTCCATTGAAAGTTATTTAGAAAATAAAGCAAAGAAAAAATTCTCTCAAAATCTAGAACAAAAGGGTCGAAATGGCATATATGAGCAGAAAGGCCAGCCTCAAAAGATCAGCATAGAAAGCAGTACCAGAAAGATTAGAGAAAATGGAGAGGATGAAATTATTACAAATATGGTGAATGACATTTTAATAGTTTCAGTTTATAATTCTTTGTAGTTTTCTTATTGATCTCGCATCTAGTAATACTTCTAATCTCACTTATTAAGTCTTATAGATTTAAAAAAAATTCCATGAAAGTTTCTATATAGAAAATAATGTTATCTATGAATATTTTACTGCTTTTTTTTCTAAACTTCATACTTTTTCCTTGCCTATTGCCATGGCTAATATGAAAAATGATGAGAGTAGATATCCCTGCCTTGCTTACAAACTTGAGGTGAAAGCATTCATTGTATTATCACTATTAAAAATAGTGATCACTTTTTTTTGCTCTGGGGATTAAACAGGGGACCTTGTACATGCAAGGAAGGTGGTGGAACCACTGAGCTAAATCCCTGGTCCCTACATATGTTTTTAATAGATGTTCTTTATAAAGTTGAAGAATCTTCATTTATATTTGCAGTTTTACTAATAAATTTTTATTGTAAATGTATTTTATTATAAATGTCCATTAAATTTTGACAACTTTCTCACCTTTACTGATGTTTTTATGATTCACTGTTATCATAATGAATTAATTAATTTTCTATTGTTAAACCAACTATGTTTCTAGGATAAACTCCACTTGTCTTGATAAATTTTGCTATATTTTGTTAATAACATTTGCTGTTCATATAATAATGGATTTTAATAATTTTCTTGTGATATCTTGTCAGGTTTTTGTATTAAGGTTTTATGAACTCTATGAAGAAAATGACTTTTTCCTTCTCCATTTATTGAAAAATTATTTAAGGTGTTGCTATTTCTTCCTTTGTATATCTGATGGAATTCACCTTTGGAGCATGTGGGAATGGAGTTTTCTTTGTGGGTGTTTTTAAAATTATCATTTTAATTTTTGAAACAGATATGACTACATACATCTCCAGCCATTTGAACCTTAATTTTTCAATTTTAAGACAGAGTTTTGCTAAGTTGCCCAGTCTGGCCTTGAACTTGGATCTTTCTGCCTCAGCATCCTGCCTCACCTACCATCCTACCCAGATATATTTTGGGATCTTCCCATTTCTTGCTCAGCAATAGATAGAATAACTAGATGTGAAATCAGTGAGACTGAAATAGCCTGCTTTTATACTTTTTATGTTTGTTCAAATGTTTTATGGCAGCGGTGACTTAGTTACTCCAACTCTTGTCATCTACAGTTAAATGACAAGGGATGAGTGAAGAATTGATGAATATTTGAGTTTAAAAAAATAAATGGTCTTTAAGAGTCCCCTTTATATACTCAAAATCCTCCTCTTTGCTTCCCACGCACTTACCCCACCACTCTGACTCTTGGCTGCAGTTCTGGAGTGTCTATGAGATATGATTGAAACTATGGTGAACGGTGCCGTGGGATGTCGTGCAACTCATAAAAACATTACGGCGAGTCCTCACCCACCTTACTCACTGGATCTGGGGCCCTGGGACTTCTTCCTATTCCCTAAAGTCAAAATGGCCATGAAGAGTAAACATTTTGAAAAGATTCAGGTTCGTGAGGCAGCCAGGACCATGTAGCTGAAGACACTCGTGAAAAGCTACTCCCAGAACTACTTCAGAAAGTAGTCAAGGGCATTAGGATAAGTGTGAATAACAAACAAAACTACGCCCCATGTATACTCACAACTTAAAACCACATAGGAGAAACCTGGTAGGTTTTAAAAATATCTACCAGATTAAAAAGGAAAGTAGATTTAAAATTGAAGAACTGTCTTCCAAAAAGTGGACATCACATT